GTTGTCTTTCTCTAGAAATGTGGAGCGACAGAAAGAAGCCGAAGCCTCCCGGCACGACGGCATCATCCTGGATCAAAGAGAAATGAAAGAAATTGGGGAAGAGTCCCATCCGCTAAAAAATGTAGAGCAAAGAAACTTTGATGTGCCCAACCGGAGTTGAGGATCGTGCATCGCCCTTTCTCAAAAGAGCTTTTCCTCTGCAATGTATTGTGCAATAAAAACTATAGTGCATCTTGACATTGGGACGTTTCAGATTTCTGGTACTCCAAGGGCCGAGCTTAGAGAAGCCAATGATGCTGGGGAAAATGGAAGGAAAAAGGAAGAGAGGCCGACCAAGAGCAAGATGGATGGATGGGATCCTTGAAGTGACTGGCTTGACCTTGAAGGAGCTGGGGGTGGTGACGGCCAACAGGGAGCTCTGGCATGGGATGATCCAGGAGGTCAAGAAGGGTTGGAAGCGACTGAAGGAATGAACGACAAAGGGCCAAGGTGGACCTTGGAGGAGCTGGGGGTGGTGACAGCTGACAGGGAGCTCTGGCATGTGATGGTCCAGGGGGTCACAAAGAGTCGGAAACAACTGAACAAATAAACAACAAAGGACCAAGGTGGACCTTGGAGGAGCTGGGGGTGGTGATGGCCGACAGGGAGCTCTGGCGTGTGATGGTCCAGGAGGTCACAAAGAGTCAAAAGCGACTGAACAAATAAACAACAAAGGGCCAAGGTGGACCTTGGAGGAGCTGGGGGTGGTGATGGCCGACAGGGAGCTCTGGCGTGGGATGGTCCAGGAGGTCACAAAGACTCAAAAGCGACTGAACAAATAAACAACAAAGGGTCAAGGTGGACCTTGGAGGAGCTGGGGGTGATGATGGCCGACAGGGAGCTCTGGCGTGGGATGGTCCAGGAGGTCACAAAGAGTTGGAAGCAACTGAATGAATAAATGACAAAGAGCCAAGGTGGACCTTGGAGGAGCTGGGGGTGGTGATTTTGCTATCGTTATCAATCGTAATGTAAATATCTGATTTGCAGGATGGATTTTCATTCACTGGACCAAATTTACCTGATACGCCCAAATGGAGGGGGGGATTGATTTTGTCATTTGGGAGTTGTAGTTGCTGGGATTTATTGTTCACATACAATCTAAGAACTCCACCAACTACGGAATTGAACCAAACTTGGCACCCAGAACTCCCATGACCATCAGAAAATACTGGAAGGGTTTGGTGGGGACTGACCTTGAGTTTTGGAGTTGTAGTTCACCTACATCCAGAGAGGACTGTGGACTCAAACAACGATGGCTCTGGACCAAACTTGGCACGAATATGCAATATGCCCAAAATGTGAACACTGGTGGAGTTTGGGGAAAACAGACCTTGACATTTGGGAGTTGTAATTGCTGAGATTTCTAGTTCACCTACAATCAAAGAGCTTTCCGAACCCCACTAACAACAGAATTGGACCAAACTTCCCACACAGAACCCCCATGACTAACAGAAAATACTGTTTTTTATGGTGTTTGGCGACCCCTCTGACACCTGCTTGCGACCCCTCCAGGCAGGGGCGGCTCGTCCATTACATGAAGTAAGCAGTCGCAGAACACTTTTTTTTGCCAGGGGCACAGAGGCGCCTCTGTAAATGCCCCTCGACTGCCACTTGAGGAGCGCCCCCTCAGCTCACAACAGCCCTAGCAGTCTGGGGGGAGCCTCAGCTTTCTTGCCTCGCTGCTGGGCAATCCTCTTCCCAAAGGGGCCGGGCCCTTGAGCCTCGCCTAGCCCCTCTCGTTCCTGCTCCACCCGGCCACTGGGTGCGCGAGCAGAGCTGGCGCTCAATCGTTCTCCGCGTTCGATCCCTTCCCCATGACCGGCTCCCTTTCCCGATTCCCCGGCGCTCCACCCGCCTCCTCCCCGCCTGGCCTGCTTCAGGTCCGGAGGCGTGTCTGAAGACCCCAGCGTGCGCACCAAAAGTCACCTCTTCTCCTGACTTTCTCTTCAGCCATTGGGACCAAGAGAGAGAGAGAGAGAGAGCCCCTCCGGCTGGAGGTATCTCCCACCTCCGCTCCCTCCTTTGTTTTTGCTCCTACCTTCAGGAAAGGTGGGCATCTCCACCTCTCTCTCTCTCTCTCTCTCTGGTCCCAATGGCTGAGGAGAAAGTCAGGAGAAGAGGTGACTTTTGGTGCACACACCGGGGTCTTCAGGCACGCCCCCAGACCCAAAGCGGGCCAGGCAAGGGAGCAAGTGCGGCAAGTGTAGTTACTGGGATGTATAGTTCACCTACAATCAAAGAGCATTCTGAACTCCACCAATGATGGAATTGAACCAAATATGGCACACAGAACTCCCACGACGAACAGAAAATATATATCAATGATTGGTTGGTGGTGGTGGTGGTGGTGGTGGGGGCAAATACTGTTTGCTTACTGTTGAAAATTACTTAGGGCCGCCTCTGCCTCCAGGGGTCCCGACCCCCAGGTTAAGAAACACTGCTCTGGAGCATATAGAATCAAGAGTTGGAAGAGACCTCATGGGCCATCCAGTCCAAACCCATTCTGCCAAGAAGCAGGAATATTGCATTCAAATCACCCCTGACAGATGGCCATCCAGCCTCTGTTTAAAAGCTTCCAAAGAAGGAGCCTCCACCAGACTCTGGGGCAGACAGTTCCACTGCTGAACAGCTCTCACAGTCAGGAAGTTCTTCCTCATGTTCAGATGGAATCTCCTTGTAAAGAGACGGCTACCAGGTGGTAAAAGATCGCCAGCAATTAGTGAGGAAGACCCTTAGGTTTAGGAGAGAGGAGCCACCGATTTGTAAAAGGCTCTGGTATTAATACCACTGGATGCCACCCTGTTTGTGTTGTGAGGTAATTTTGGGAGATTGGGTACACGAACGTAGAATTAATGGAGATGAGGCAGTTTCAAAAACTAAAGAGAACAAGTTTATTTTTAAACAAAGCGTATGGTTGCAGTATGATGATGTTAAGCTTGGCAAATAATTGAAGGTTACATGTAACTTGGTTGCGATACAATTCAGACTTTCGATGTTACAACTTATGAACTCTTGCTGTGGTGAAGCACTTTATTAACCAGTGTTCCCTGCAGTGAATAGTCTCCCTGTTTGATCTATCCTTGATCAAACAACAGATCTCTAGTCTTCTCCCGACTAGCGATCTTAACAGCCTCTGTTAGTTCTTTCTAACTAAAGCAACTAACAAGGTTTTCCCCTTCAGCTTCCTAACTGAAGAAATCTCTACTATTCACGAACACTGAAACCTGACTCTTCACTTCTCAGAGTCTCAATCCTGACCTGCTCTTCCCTGAGCCTAAAACCCTGACTGACTCTAACTGTCACTTTTCAAAAACCTTAACTCTCTAAGCTCCTCCCACCTCCTCTTCTGCCTCGTTTCCATGGTAACACATTCCTAACAGCTAGGCCGCTCCAGCCTAAGGGCAACCAATGCAAACATAAATACAGTTATAAGCATATTATTATAAACACTTCTGTACACTCCTCTCTTGTAGTTTGAAGCCATTGTTCCGCGTCCTAGTCTCCAGGGAAGCAGAAAACAAGCTTGCTCCCTCCTCCCTGTGGCTTCCTCTCACATATTTATACATGGCTATCATATCCCCTCTCAGCCTTCTCTTCTTCAGGCTAAACATGCCCAGCTCCTTAAGCCGCTCCTCATAGGGCTTGTTCTCCAGACCCTTGATCATTTTAGTCACCCTCCTATGGACACATTCCAGCTTGTCAATATCTCTCTTGAATTGTGGTGCCCAGAATTGGACACAATATTCCAGGTGTGGTCTAACCAAAGCGGAATAGAGGGGTAGCATTACTTCCCTACATCTAGACACTATGCTCCTATTGATGCAGGCCAAAATCCCATTGGCTTTTTTTGCCGCCACATCACATTCCTGGCTCATGTTTAACTTGTTGTCCACGAGGACTCCAAGATCTTTTTCACACGTACTGCTCTCGAGCCAGGCATTGTCCCCCATTCTGTATCTTTGCATTTCGTTTTTCCTGCCAAAGTGGAGTATCTTGCATTTGTCACTGTTGAACTTCATTTGGTTAGTTTTGGCCCATCTCTCTAATCTGTCAAGATCGTTTTGAATTCTGCTCCTGTCCTCTGGAGTATTGGCTATCCCTCCCAATTTGGTGTCGTCTGCAAACTTGATGATCCTGCCTTCTAGCCCTTCATCTAAGTCATTAATAAAGATGTTGAACAGGACCGGGCCCAGGACGGAACCCTGCGGCACTCCACTCGTCACTTCCTTCCAGGATGAAGAGGAAGCATTGGTGAGCACCCTCTGGGTTCGTCCATTTAACCAATTCCAGATCCACCTCACCGTAGTTTTGCCTAGCCCACATTGGACTAATTTCCTTGCCAGAAGGTCATGGGGGATCTTGTCGAAGGCCTTCCTGAAATCCAGGTACGCCACATCCACGGCATTCCCCGTGGATCAGATACTGAAAATGATATCCCTTCCAATGTTTACATCTGGCTCTCATGTGGCCTTCTCTTCTCCAAGCTAAACATACTCAGCTCCTTGAAGGATTTGGCTTCCAACCCTTCTCCTCATTCATGACTTTCCCCATCTTGACCCACATGTGTCTAGGTTTACATCGGCAAAGCATTGGCGGCGATGCGGCTCTCATGCGCCCATCAGACGCTTGGCCGAGGCAACTCTCCTTTATTCTTTCACAGCACTGTTTGGCCTTTCGCGTTTCCGGTGGCCGGTTGGCCTGCCTTTTAAGAGTACGAGCACATCGCAAGCCGGGAAACGCCGTCGCCAAGAGAACGGTTCCAACTCTCTCCCCCCACTCCCAAAAAAAGGCCCACGACTTGTTCCTCCCGGCACCCTGCCCCACATTTGGTGAATGCCTGCATTTTCTGGCCCTTCCTTCCCCTTTGAGTTAATCTTCCAAAGCCTCATGAGAACTTTGACCCAAGTAAAGTGATTAGGACTTGCATAATCCGTCCGAAAGAGAGCGAGAGAGCCCCCTTATTTGGCCACACGGGTTCCCCAAGTACACACACATATAGAGATGGATAAACACCCCACGGCACACCGGGCCGGGGTGACTCGAGTTCGCACAACAGGTTGCTCCAATGCGTTCCTTATTATCCCCACCAGCGCTTTCAGCCGCGGCCAAGAAAGGGGGGACGCCGCGGACTTGCTTTCCAAGATCCTGACCCTGAATTAGTCAGAGGAAACGGGTGGGAAGGGCTGGCTATGAGTTTGGAGAGCCCGGCTCGGGAAGAAGGACTTCTTCGCAAACCCTCCTGAGCCTCCGCCATGACGTTTGCCGAACTTCTGGACCAGATCGGGGGCATGGGCCGCTTCCAGGTCGTCCACGTGGCATTGCTGGTGGTCCCCATCCTCCTGACGGCCAGCCACAACCTTCTGCAGAACTTCTCGGCCGCCGTGCCGGAGCATCACTGCCGGATCCGGCTGGTGGGCAACGGCACCGACTGGCACGCCAACCACACCGAGGTGACGGAGGAGGACCTCTTGTGGGCCTCCATCCCCAAAGATGCCAGCGGGAAGCCGGAGAAGTGCCGCCGGTTTGTCAGCCCTCGTTGGCACCTCCCCAACGCCAGTGCGGATGGCGGCAACGAGACTCACGTTGACACCGAGCCCTGCCACGATGGGTGGATCTACGACCAAAGTGTCTTCACCAACACCATCATCATGGAGGTGAGTGTCTATGGAGAGCCAAAAGTCCCAGTTGTGAGACTAATCGAAGCCTTGAGTTGAAAGGCAGGGACCCCAAGGGGCATCCGTTCCACCTCCGTTCTGCAAGGCAGGAAGTCACCATCAAAGCCCTCCCAACAGATGGACATCTAACCTATGTTGGAAGAATACCATAGAAGGAAAAATATGGTGATAATGATGGTGGTTACAGAATCCTAGAGTTGGAAGGGGACTCCAACCAGTCCGATTCCATTCTGCAAGGCAGAAAGTCACCATCAAAGCCCTCCCCACAGATGGACATCTAACCTCTGTTGGAAGAATATCATAGAAGGAAAAGTATGGTGATTATGGTGGTGGTTATAGAATCCTAGAGTTGGAAGAAGACCCCAAAGGCCACCCAGTCCAATTCCATTCTGCAAAGCAGAAAGACACAATCAAAGCCCTCCCGACAGATGGACATATAAACTTTGTTGGGAGAATACCATAGAAGGAAAAATATGGTGATAATGATGGTGGTTATTGAATGCTAGAGTTGGAAGGGGACTCCATCCAGTCCAATTCCATTCTGCAAGGCAAGAAGTCACCATCAAAGCCCTCCCGACAGATGGACGTCTAACCTCTGTTGGGAGAATACCAAGGAAAAGTATGGTGGTGATGGTGGTGGTTATAGAATCCTAGAGTTGGAAGGGGACTCCATCCAGTCCAATTCCATTCTGCAAGGCAGGAAGTCACCATCAAAGCCTTCCCGACAGATGAACATTTAACCTCTGTTGGGAGAATACCATAGAAGGAAAAGTATGGTGGTGATGGTGGTGGTTATATAATCCTAGAGTTGGAAGGAGACCCCAAATGCCATCCAGTCCAATTCCATCCTGCAAGGCAGAAAGACACAATCAAAGCCCTCCCGACAGATGGACATATAAACTTTGTTGGGAGAATACCATAGAAGGAAAAAATATGGTGATGATGATGGTAGTTATAGAATCCTAGAGTTGGAAGATGACCCCATTCAGTCCAATTCCATTCTGCAAGGCAGGAAGTCACCATCAAAGCCCTCCCCACAGATGGACAGCTAAGCTCTCTTGGGAGAACACCATAGAAGGAAAAATATGACTAATGATGGTTATAGAATCCTAGAGTTGGAAGGGGACTCCATCCAGTCCAATTCCATTCTGCAAGGCAGAAAGACACAAGCAAAGCCCTCCCCACAGATGGACATCTAACCTCTGCTGGGAGAATACCATAGAAGGAAAAAATATGGTGATGATGATGGTAGTTATAGAATCCTAGAGTTGGAAGATGACCCCATCCAGTCCAATTCCATTCTGCAAGGCAGGAAGTCACCATCAAAGCCCTCCCCACAGATGGACATCTAACCTCTGTTGCAATAATACCCTAGAAGGAAAAGTATGGTGATGATGGTGGTGGTTATAAAATCCTGGAGTTGGAATGGGGCCTAAAAGGCCATCCAGTCCAACCCTATTCGGCTAGGTAGAAGGACACCATCAAAGCACTCCCAACCGATGGCCATCTAACTTCTGTTGCAAGACCACCACAGGAGAAGCATTGTATCATCGTCATCATCATCATCATTGATGATAATAATGATGATTTGGGGTCCCCTCCCCACTTCATTAGAGTTGGAAGGAGACCCCAAAGGCCATCCTGTCCAATTCTATTCTGCAAAGCAGAAAGACACAATCAAAGCCCTCCTGACAGATGGACATCTAACCTTTGTTGGGAGAATACCATAGAAGGAGAAGTATTGTGATGATGGTGGCGATTATAGAATCCTAGAGTTGGAAGGGGATCCCAAAAATCATCCAGTCCAATTCCATTCTGCAAGGCAGGAAGTCACCATCAAAGCCCTCCCCACAGATGGACATCTAACCTCTGTTGAAAGAATACCATAGAAGGAAAAGTATGAGTGATGATGGTGGTGGTTATAGAATCCTAGAGTTGGAAGGAGACCCCAAAGGCCATCCAGTCCAATTCCATTCTGCAAAGCAGAAAGACATAATCAAAGCCCTCCTGACAGATGGACATTTAACCTCTGTTGGGAGAATACCATAGAAGGAAAAGTATGATGATGCTGGTGGTGGTTATAGAATCCTAGAGTTGGAAGGGGCCCCAAAGGCCATCCAGTCCAACCCTATTCTGCTAGATAGAAGGACACCATCTAAGCACTCCCAACCGATGGCCATCTAACTTCTTTTGCAAGACCACCACAGAAGGAGAAGTATTGTACCATCATCATCATCATCATCATCATCATCATCATTATCATCAATGATAATAGTAATAATTTGGGGTCCCCTCCCAACTTCATTAGAGTTGGAAGGGGACCCCAAACGCAGTCCATTCTACCCCTATTCTGACAGGTAGAAGGATACCATCAAAGCCCTCTCAAAGATAGCCATCTAACTTCTGATGAACCACAGAAGGAGAGGTAGAGATGGAAAGTTCTCCAAACAGATGGCCATCTAACCTCTGATGAATCACAGAAGGAGAGGTATGGTGTCTTTCTGCCAAGGCAGGAAGACACCATCAAAGCCTTCCCAGCTGATGGCCATCTCACCTCTGCTGAAAGATCACCATAGAATGAGATGCATCTGACTTTATTAGAATTTAAAAGGGACCCCAAAAGGTCATCCGGTCCAATCCCATTCTGCCAGGCAGGAAGACACAATCAAAGCCCTCCCAACAGATGGCCATCTAACCTCTGATAAACCATAGCCCAAGAGATATCTTATACTTCAGTAGAGTTAGAAGGGGACCCAACCCTATTCTGCTAGGTAGGAGGACACCATCAAAGCCCTCCCAACAGATGGCTATTTAACTTCTGTTGAAAGACCACCACAGAAGGAGAGGTATCTTAATTCATTAGAGATGGAAGGGGACCCCAAAGGCCACCCAGTCCATCCCCATTCTGCTATGTAGAAAGACATCATCAAAGCCCTCCCGACAGATGGCCATCTAACCTCTGATGAACCACAGAAGGAGAGGTATCTTAACTTCATTAGAGTTGGAAGAGGACCCCAAAGGTGATCCTGTTCAACCCCTTTCTTGGAAGGGGATCCCAAAGTCATCCAGTCCAACCTCATTCTGCCAGGCAGGAAGACATCATCAAAGCCCTCCCAACAGATGGTCATCCCACCTCTGCTTAAAAACCTCTAGAGATAGAGACTCCATAATCACCATGATCATTATTATCATTGATGATGATGACGACGATGATACAATTCTAGTTGAAAGGGTCCCCAATGGACATCCAGTCCAACCTTATTAATTATTATTAATTATTATTATTATTTATTATTTATTATTATTTATTATTTATTATTAATTAATTATTTATTAATTATTTATTTATTAATTATTATTAATTATTATTATTTATTTATTTATTAATTATTATTAATTATTTATTTATTAATTATTGTTATTTATTTATTCCATTAAACAATAAACACATCTCATCACAATATAAACAATTATTTTTTATTTATCGTGTCAGGAGCAACCAGACAGTTACACAAAACATATACACAATTAAAACACAATATTGTTCTACCACACAGTATTTGATCAATTGATTGATCAGTAAATTTTAGAATTCTAGAATTGGAAGAGACGCCAAGAGCCTCTCCCATTTGGAAAGGCACCATAAAAGCACTCCTGGCAGATGGCCAGCCAACATCACCATCATTATTAACAAAGGTTAGGATGATGATAGAATTCTAGAGTTGGAAAAGACCCCGTGGACCATCCAATTTCATTCTGCCAGGCAGGAAGACACAATCAAAGTCCTCCCAACAGATGGCCATGCAGCTTCTGCTTACAACCCTCCCAGGAAGGAGACTCCAGCATCATCATCACCATAATTATTATAAATTATTATTATTATTGTCATCTATATAAATAAAAATGTAATGTTTGTTTGTGGGATTAACATAACTCAAAAACCACTGGATTAATTGACACCAAATTTGGACACAATACACCTATCAGGCCAACAAGGGACCATCACCCCTAAAAACAAACACATACACATACACACACACACACAAAACCAGCAGAACGGACTTTAACACCCCCTCCCCCCAAATAAACCATATATACATATACAAATATGTTCATACACATATACACAAGCACACATACATACAGACACACACACACACACACACACATATATATATGCAAGCTCCCACAAATATACACATATACACACCTACATATACACCTACACACATATACATGTACACATACATACACACATATAAACACACAAATATGCATATACACAAGCCCACACATATACACAATACATATACACACACATATATACAAAAGCACACACATATACACCTACACACATATATACATACACATACATACACACATATACATATATATGCATATACACAAGCACACACATATACACAATATATATATATACACATATAAACTCAGAAAGACATAAATATATACACACATATATACACACAAACACACATATATACACATACACACAAATATATACACACAACATTACAACACATGTGCAAAACCACATATATACATATATACACAAGCACACATATATACACATATACACAAATATATACATACATTACAACGCATGTGCAAAACCACATATATATACGCAAGCACACATATATACACATACACACAAATATATACACACAACATTACAACGCATGTGCAAAACCACATATATACATGCAAGCACACATATATACACATATACAGAAATATATACACCCAACATTACGACGCATGTGCAAAACCACACATATATTCACAAGCACACATATATAGACATATACACAAATATGTACACACAACATTACAATGCATGTGCAAAACCACATTTATATACGCAAGTACACATATATACACATATATACAAATATATACACACATTACATCGCATGTCCAAAACCACACACACACACACACACACACACACACACATATATATATATATATATATATGCAAGCACACATATATACACATATACAAACACAAAACACATATACACAGACTGGGCCACAGCAACACGTGGCTGGGGATGGTTAGTTGTTATAACAAAATCCTTGAGAAGATTCCAAGACTTTGAAGAGACCCCAATTCCATTCTGACGCACAAGAGTACACAATCAAACCATCCCCGACAGATGGTCATTCACCCTCTACTTAAACATCTCCATAGAAGGAGCATACAATCCTATAGTTGGAAGATATCCCAGAGGCTATCTAGTGCAACCCAATTTCAACATTCAGAAAAACACAATCAAATCCCTCCCAACAGAGGACCATCCAGCCTTTGCTTTATAAACTCTACAGAATGAAACTATATTAGTAGATTACTATATTGGACAACTCTTACCTTCTGGAAGTTCTTCCTAATGTTTAGGCGGGATCTCTTTTCCTGCCATTTGAATCCATTGTAGCAGAAACCAAGTTTGGCCCTTCCTCATTGGGACATGATGTAAACATGATGTAAACATGGCTTCCCTGTCCCCTTCTCCAAGTTGAACGTGGCCAAGCTCCACACAGGTGCATTCAATCCCCCATCTAATTTGGATCGTACCAAATTGCCAAACTTATTCCACATGGTGGAGGCTGCTTCTTTGGAGGCTGTTAAACAGAGGCTGGATGGCCATCTGTTGGGGGTGCTTTGAATGCAATTTTTGGCAGAATGGGGTTGGACTGGATGGGCCATGAGGTCTCTTCCAACTCTATGATTCTGGGAGGGAGTTTCTCATCCGGTCTCAGCCACTGATTGAGATCATGGTTTTGGCCTGCCACTTTTGGACTCTTGCTTGCTGGGGTGTTCCTGCGAGTATCTCTGTAGATCTTAGGAAGCTATGTCTTGATTTAAGGCATTGCCATGTTGGCTGATATTCGAACAGAGGATGGGCCGGAGATTCTATGATTTAATATTTGCTTTTAATGATTGCATTCCAATATCAATATCAGATCAATACAGGGTTTATGGTATGGTAGAGTATTAGTTAGGCCTATTTTTAATAGTATCTCTTAAGCAACTAGAAACTACATTTATCTGGCATCTCTCATAGGTGCCGGATAACTGAGAGTCTACTATATTTATCAGCCTTGCTGGAAAGTGGGTTTGGTGGAATACTTTTAGATTTCCACCAAACTAAACTAAACTAAACTAAACTAAACTAAACTAAACTAAAGCTCTGCAGGTCAGGGTTGGAATCCAGCTGCTTCTAGTTGAACTACAGTGCCACCTAGAGGCAGAATGCTATTATTACATGCCTATGTGTTTTTTCAAATTGCAACTTGGTATCATAGACTCCTAGGCTTGGAAGAGACCCCAAAGGCCATCCAGTCCAACCCCATTCTGCCAGACACAATCAAATCCTTCCTGACAGATGGCCATCAATGATTTGCTTAAACCCTCCATAGAAGAATGCTCCATCATCATTATTATCGAATATTATAATGATGATAGAATGCTAGAGTTGGAAGGGGACCCCAAAGCCTATCCAGTCCAACCCCATTCTGCCAGGCAGGAAAACTCAATCAAATCCTTCCCGACAGATAGCCATCGAGGATTTGCTTAAACCTTCCATAGAAGGATACTCCATCATCATTATTATCGAATATTATAATGATAATAGAATGCGAACGTTGGAAGAGACTCCAAAGGCCATCCAGTCCAGCCCCATTATGCCAGACACAATCAAATCCTTCCCGATAGATGGCCATCAAGGATTTGCTTAAACCCTCCAGAGAAGGATCCTCCATCATATTTATTACCTAATATTATAATGATGATAGAATGGTACAGTTGGAGGTGACTGAAAAGGCCAACCAATCAAACCCCTTTCCTCCAGACACAATCAAATCCTTTCTTACAGATGGCCATCAAGGATTTGCTTAAATCCTCCATAGAAGGATACTCCATCAGCACTATTATCAAATATTATAATGATAGAATGCTAGAGTTCGAACAGACTCCAAAGGCCATCTAATCCAACCCCCTTCTTCCAGACACAATCAAATCCTTCCCAACAGATGGCCATCAAGGATTTGCTTGAACCCTCCATAGAAGGATAATCCATCATGATTATTATTGATAATGATGATCGAATGCTAGAGTTGGAAGAGATCCCAAAGGCCATCCAATCCAACCCCCTTCTTCCAGACACAATCAAATCCTTCCTGACAGATGGCCATCAAGGATTTGCTTAAATCTTCCATAGGAGGATACTCCATCTACATTATTATCGAATATTATAAGGATGATAGAATGACAGAGTTGGAAGAGACTCCAAAGGCCACCCAGTCCCATTCAGCCAGGTGGAGAGGCACAACCAAATACCTCCTGACAGATCGCCAGGAACTCTCCAGAGGAGACTCCCAGTTGGAAGGTTTCTTTTCTTTTTTTCTTATGGATGATTTGCCTCTTTTCCTCCTCACAGTGGGACCTGGTGTGTAACCTGCGGACCAGGCGCCAGATGGCTCAGTCCATATACATGGGAGGAGTGCTGGTCGGGGCCCTCGTCTTCGGCAGCTTAGCCGACAGGTAGGCCTCAGTCACTGTTTCACAACCTTCCTAATACTTGCCATCCCTTAATACAGTTCCTCATGTGGTGGTGGCCCCCAACCATAACATTATTTTCGTTGCTACTTCATAACTCTAATTTTGCTACTGTTATGAATCGTCATGTAAATATCTGATACCCAGGATGTATTTTCATTCACTGGCCCAAGTTTGGCACAAATACCCCATACGCCCAAATTTGAATACTGGTGGGGTTCGGGCAGGGATTGATTTTGTCATTTGGGAGTTGTAGTTGCTGGGATTTATAGTTCACCTACAATCAAAGATCATTCTGAACCTCACCAACGATGGAATTGAACCAAACTTGACACACAAAACTCCCATGACCAACAGAATATACTGGAAGGGTTTGGTGGGCATTGATCTTGAGTTTGAGAGTTGTAGTTCACCTATATCCAGAGAGCACTGTGGACTCAAACAATGATGGATCTGGACCAAACTCTACGCAAATACTCAATATGCCTAAATGTGAACACTGGTGGAGTTTGGGGGAAATAGAACTTTACATTTGGGAGTTGTAATTGCTGGGATGTATAGTTCACCTATAATCATAGAGCATTATGAACTCCACCAATGATGGAATTGAACCAAACTTGTGACACAGAACTCCCATGACCAACAGAAAATACTGGAAGGATTTGGTGGGCATTGATCTTGAGTTTGGGAGTTGTAGTTCACCTATATCGAGGGAGCACTGTGGACCCCAACAATGATAGATCTGGACCAAACTTGGCATGAATACGCAATATGCCCAAATGTGAACACTGGTGGAGTTTGAGGGAAATGGAGCTTGACATTTGGGAGTTGTAGTTGCTGGGATTTATAGTTCACCTACAATCATAGAGCATTCTCAACCCCACCAACAATGGAATTGAACCAAACTTGACACACAGAACTCCCATGACCAACAGAAAATACTGGAAGGGTTTGGTGGGCATTGATCTTGAGTTTGAGAGTTGTAGTTCACCTACATCCAGAGAGCACTGTGAACTCAAACAATGATAGATCTGGATCAAACTTGGCACAAATACTCAATATGCCCAAATGTGAACACTGGTGGAGTTTGGGGGAAATAGAGCTTGACATTTGGGAGTTGTAGTTGCTGGGATGTATAGTTCACCTACAATCAAAGAGCATTCTGAACCCCACCAATGATAGAATTGGGGCAAACTTCCCATACAGAGCCCCCATGACCAACAGCAAACACTGTGTTTTCTGATGGTCTTTGGTGACCCCCTTGACATCCCCTTGCAACTCCCCCAGGGGTCCTGACCCCCAGATTGAGAAACATAGGACTAAGTGGAGTGTGAACATGAGCCAACAGTGTGATGCAGCAGCTAAAAAGGCCAAGCTGCATTCATAGAAGGATAATGTCCAGATCAAGTCATAGTCTCACTCATTTCTGCTTTGGTCTGCCATGATGTGTATGTACTGTATATGGATGCAAAGGAATAATAATATATTTATGTCCGGTCCTGTGTTTTAGGTTTGGGCGCAAAGCCATAATAAGTTGGTCCTATCTGCAAATGGCTGTCTCGGGCGTATGCACGGCTTTCTCTCCAAGCCTCACGGCTTATTGCGTCTTTCGCTTCCTGGTCGGGATGGCGCTCTCTGGGATCGTCCTAAACTGCATGTCCTTAGGTAAGAGCCCAAAGGTGGGGAGGAACTGAAGCAGTACACAGATTTAGGGGGTCCTGCCGGAGCAGAGACCAGCGAAGACCCAAAGGGAGGGCCTGCTACGCCTGCCGAGACAATAAGCACCAATAAAAGTTTACCTACTTCCCAATAAATCTTACAAAATGTTGATCATTTCCGCTCCCTTGGCAGCCACCTCTCCACCAAAGTCAACATCGACACCGAAATACAACACCGCCTGAGCTCTGCGAGCGCAGCATTTTTCCGAATGAATCAGAGAGTGTTTGAGGACCGGGACATCCATAGGGAGACCAAGGTGCTTGTTTATAGAGCTATTGTCCTCCCAACCCTGCTATATGCCTGTGAGACGTGGACTGTCTACAGACGTCACATGCAACTCCTGGAACGATTCCATCAGCGCTGCCTCCGGAAAATCCTGCAAATCTCTTGGGAAGACAAGCGGACAAACGTCAGCGTGCTGGAAGAAGCAAAGACCACCAGCATTGAAGCGATGGTCCTCCGCCATCAACTCCGCTGGACCGGCCACGTTGTCCGGATGCCTGACCACCGTCTCTCAAAGCAGTTGCTCTACTGAACTCAAGAACGGAAAACGGAATGTTGGTGGGCAGGAAAAGAGATTGAAAGATGGGCTCAAAGCCAACCTTAAAAACTCTGGCATAGACACTGAGAACTGGGAAGCCCTGGCCCTTGAGCGCTCCAGCTGGAGGTCAGCTGTGACCAGCAGTGCTGCAGAATTTGAAGAGGCACGAATGGAGGGCGAAAGGGAGAAGTGTGCCAAGAGGAAGGCGCATCAAGCCAACCCCGACCGAGACCGCCTTCCACCTGGAAACCAATGCCCTCACTGCGGAAGAAGATGCAGAGCAAGAATAGGGCTCCACAGCCACATACGGACCCACAAGAACACTGGAAGACAATCATCCTCGGAAAGCGAGGGATCGCCTAATGATGATGAATGGTGATGACCAGGATGAAGCAAGACCACCAAAGTTTATTTACTACTCCAGCTGGAATGGATGACGACTGCAGTATCCTGCAAAGGAGCCAGCATGACTCCTGAGCAGGGAATTACAGAATATTTACAGTTTTTCCCATTCAAATTTTCCCCGCCCCCGAGCCATGATTGGCTGTGATGTCAGCGAGGTGGGAGGAGAGGCCGGGGTCCGATGCGGCTCATCCAATGAGAGCCGAGCCCCACTTAGGCCGCTCAGCCAATGGTGTGTAAGGAGGCGTGGCAACAAGGAAACAATGGGCGATAGTGGCTTTATGGTAGGATTATTAATGGTACAATATGAATGGGTTTCTGTGTTGATACGTACAACACAATAGCCCACTTGTACACCAAAAGGAAAATAAATCAGTTCAGCCAATAATGTGACTGGTCAAACTTATTATACAGTTTCAAATCATAGCATTCACAAAACAATATTATATGCGTTTGGTACAAAATAGACCTTGACATTTGGGAGTTGTAGTTGCTGGGATTTATAGTTCACCTACAATCAAAGAGCACTCTGAACCCCACCAACGATAGAATTGGGCCAAACCTCCCACACAGAACCCCCATGTGGGCCACAGCAATGCGTGGCAGGGGACGGCTAGTATATAATAAAATTATATATATATATATATATATATATATATATATATGTATGTATGTATGTATGTATATAATTTTAGTCCACCAGAGGAAGGCCTGGAGTGAGGCCGAAACCGGTCGTGGACTATGGATTTATGTTCAACTCAATGCAAGAACATACGTCGTTGATACTTTTTTGAGTGACTGTACCAAATGCATATATATATTGTTTTGTGAAACTTAATAACCAATAAGGAGAGAATAAATAGAACAAGAAGACATTAGAAGCAATTAGGAAGCAACAATCAAATAATAGAATCACAATATAGAAATTGTAACTCTCTGTGGAATGGGCTGGAACACTCAAAAATTCTCTACCCCCCCCCCCCCTTACCACCCTATCCCCAATACCCTCCCAATACCCTTCATACCTAACCCCACTCCCCATTACCCACTCCCCGCGTATATTTCTTATTTTTCTATACAATTGACATGTTCCCCCTCTTTTAAATGTATCTCAGAACAATCCTAAATAATAATAATAATAATAATAATAATAATAATAATAATAATAATAAAGACCCTCCAAAGCCCAAAGAAAGGGGCCATTAGTCTATTGTCCATGCTTAAGAGTTTCTGCAAAGTCCATTGTTTAAGGATGAAGACCCAGGAAATTTTGCAAGAGGTCGCCTTGCGTAATATTTTATCTATATAATAAAAATGTAATGTTCGTTGGTGGGATTAACATAACTCAAAAACCACTGGACGAAGTGACACGAAATTTGGACACTATACCCTTAACAGACCAACGAGTGACCATAACTCATAAAAAAACCCCAAAAGAGCAAAAAGGACTTAAAACCCTCGAAAAGCTAAATGGCAATACAGAAAAAGGGAAGAAAGAGAGAGGGAAAGAAGGAGAGAAAGAAAGAAAGAGAGAGAAAAAGAGGAAGGGAAATAAAGAAGGAAAGAGAGAAGGAAGGAAAGAGGTAGAGAAGGAAGAAAGGAGAAAAAGGGGGAAGGAAGGAAAGAGGTAGATAAGGAAGGAAGAAGAGAAGGAAAGAAAAAGGGAAGGAAAGAAGGAAAGAGGTAGAGAAGGAAGAAAGAAGAGAACGAAAGAAAAAAGGGAAGGAAAGAGGGAGTGAAGGAAGGAGGAAAAGAAGGAGAGAAAGGGGGAGGGAAGGAAAGAGAGAAGAAAGGGAAGGAAAGAGAGAAGAAAGGATGGAAGCAAAAAAGGAAGGAAGGAATGAGAGAAAAAAGAGATAAAGAAAAAAGGGGAAGGAAGGAAAGGTAGAGAAGGAAGGAAGGAGAGAAGGAAAGAAAAAAGGGAAGGAAGGAAAGAGGGAGCGAAGGAAGGAGGGAAAAAAGGAGAGAAAGAGGGAGGGAAGGAAAGAGAGGATGGAAGCAAAAAAAACAAAGGAAGGAAGTAGGGAAGGAAGAAATGAGAGAAAAAAGATAAAGAAAAAAGGGTGAAGGAAGGAAAGAGGTAGAGAAGGAAGGAAGAAGAGAAGGAAAGAAAAAGGGAAGGAAAGAATGAAAAAGGTAAAGAAGGAAGAAAGAAGAGAACGAAAGAAAAAAGGGAAGGAAAGAGGGAGTGAAGGAAGGAGGAAAAGAAGGAGAGAAAGGGGGAGGGAAGGAAAGAGAGAAGGATGGCAGCAAAAATTGAAAGAAGGAAGGAAGGAAGGAAGGAAGGAAGGAAGGAAGGAAGGAAGGAGGGAAAGAGGTAGGGAAGGAAGAAATGAGAGAAAGAAGATAAAGAAAAAGGGGGGAAGGAAGGAAAGGTAGAGAAGGAAGGAAGGAGAGAAGGAAAGAAAAAGGAAAGGAAGGAAGGAAAGAGGGAGCAAAGGAAGGAGGGAAGGAAGGAGAGAGAAAGAAAGGGAAGGAAAGAGAGAAGAAAGGATGGAAGCAAAAAAGGAAGGAAGGAATGAGAGAAAAAAGAGATAAAGAAAAAAGGGGAAGGAAGGAAAGGTAGAGAAGGAAGGAAGGAGAGAAGGAAAGAAAAAAGGGAAGGAAGGAAGGAAAGAGGGAGCAAGAAGGAAGGAGGGAAAGATGAGAGAAAGAGGGAGGGAAGGAAAGAGAGGATGGAAGCAAAAAGCGAAGGAAGGAAGGAAGGAGGGAAGGAAGAAATGAGAGAAAAAAAGATAAAGAAAAAGGGGGGAAGGAAGGAAAGGTAAAGAAGGAAGGAAGGAGAGAAGGAAAGAAAAAGGGAAGGAAGGAAAGAGGGAGTGAAGGAAGGAGGGAAAGAGGAGAGAAAGAGGGAGGGAAGGAAAGAGAGGATGGAAGCAAAAAGCGAAGGAAGGAAGGAAGGAGGGAAGGAAGAAATGAGAGAAAAAAAGATAAAGAAAAAGGGGGGAAGGAAGGAAAGGTAAAGAAGGAAGGAAGGAGAGAAGGAAAGAAAAAGGGAAGGAAGGAAAGAGGGAGTGAAGGAAGGAGGGAAAGAGGAGAGAAAGAGGGAGGGAAGGAAAGAGAGGATGGAAGCAAAAAACAAAGGAAGGAAGGAAGGAGGGAAGGAAGAAATGAGTGAAAAAGAGATAAAGAAAAAAGGGGGAAGGAAGGAAAGGCAGAGAAGGAAGGAAGGAGAGAAGGAAAGAAAAAAGGGAAGGAAGGAAAGAGGGAGTGAAGGAAGGAGGGAAAGAGGAGAGAAAGAGGGAGGGAAGGAAAGAGAGGATGGAAGCAAAAAAACAAAGGAAGGAAGGAAGTAGGGAAGGAAGAAATGAGAGAAAAAAGATGAAGAAGAAAGGGGGAAGGAAGGAAAGGCAGAGAAGGAAGGAAGGAGAGAAGGAAAGAAAAAAAGGGAAAGAAGGAAAGAAAGAGGGAGGGACGGTTGGCCACAGCAACACGTGGCGGGTACAGCTAGTACAGACATATAATGATTGGGGATGTGGGGCATGTACAGAGTTCATAAAGGGAAAAGGGGGCATTGCAAGATTGGGGAAACATTTGTCCTTGTCACCTGGAGTTCATAAGGGAAGACATGGTTACAAAATATTATTTACTTGGCAAAACTATGAATTCCCTGATTATAAACTATCTTTTATTTGGGGGTTGGGGGGGGGGGGGCATGTTCGACAGGTTTGCATCCGCAGGTTTGGATGGCACGGCGGGCAAAACTTGCACCATCTGCTTAGACAGCTGTTGTGAAGTCAAATATGCTTTGCAACCTCGAGATTGTTTCCGGCCCTTGCGTTTCCTCGCATTCCTCGCCCCATTAGCAATGTTTTGCCCTCAGCGTGCCGTTGAGAAGGACAAATATTTATTCTGCCCCTAATTTGGGACTTGCTTGGGCGCACGCTGGGAAGGGAAAGGTCAGATGATGCGCAAACTGCAGAGTCAGGCTTTTGTGCAAAGGAAGACAAGCCAGGTTTGTTGTTGTTGTTGTTGTTGTTGGTCTTTTGGAGTAACTGCTACAGAATGCAGTTTGGAACAGCATTATATGGCTCTACAGCAGGCATTTGCAAACTTTGGCCCTCCAGGTGTTTTGGACTTCAACTCCCACAATTCCTAACAGCCTACCGGCTGTTAGGAATTGTGGGAGTTGAAGTCCAAAACACCTGGAGGGCCAAAGTTTGCAAATGCCTGCTCTACACTGACCATATAATGCTGTTTAACTCTACACTGACCATATACCGGTAGTTCTTGACCATTAGAGATGATCAGCAATGGAATATGTTGCATCAGAGTCCACTTGCGTCTCCTTCTCTGGCCATCTGATGGGTGGGCTTTGATAGTGTGCTCTTACCTGGCAGAATAGGGTTGGACTGGATGGCCTTTGAGGTCCTCTTTTAGCTCTAATAAAGTAAGATACCTCGACTTCTGTAGTGGTCTTTCAACAGATCTTAGATAGCCATCTGTCGGGAGGGCTTTGATGGTGTCTTCATGCTCTTGAGGTCCCTTCTAACTCTAGGATTCTATGATGACAACAACAACAACAACAATCTTTGAAAATGGTGATGATGGTGCTGCTGGTGGAGTCTCCTTCTCTAGAGGTTTCTGAACAGCATCTGCATGGCCATCTGTCAGAGGGTTTTGATGGTGTCCTCCAGCCTGGCAAAATGGGGTTGAACTAGATTGCCTTTTGGGTTCTCCTTCCAACTCTAATGAAGTAAGATTCCTCTCCTTCTATGGTGTTCTTTCATCCGATGTTAGATGGTCATCTATCAGGAGGGTTTTGATGGTGTCCTCCAACGTGGCAGAATAAGGTTGGACTGGATGGCCTTTTGGTGTTCCTTTCCAACTCTAATGAAGTAAGATACCTCTCCTATGGTGTTCTTTCAACAGAGGTTAGATGGCCATCTGTTGGGAAGGCTTTGATGGTATCTTCCTGCCTGGCAGAATGGGGTTGGACTGGATGGCCTTTTGAGGTCCCCTTTAAACTCTAATAAAGTCAGGTGCATCTTGTTCTATGGTGCTTTTGCAACAGAGGTGAGATGGCCATCTGTTGGGAAGGCTTTGATGGTGTCCTCCAGCCTGGCAGAATGGGGTTGTACTGGATGACCTTTTGGGGTCCCTTTTAAATTCTAATAAAGTCAGATGCGTCTCCTTCTATAATGCTCTTTCAGCAGAGGTGAGATGGCCATCTGTTGGGAAGGCTTTGATGGTGTCCTCCAGCCTGGCAGAATGGAGTTGTACTGGATGACCTTTTGGGATCCATTTTAAATTCTAATAAAGTCAGATGCATCTCCTTCTATGGTGCTCTTTCAACAGAGGTGAGATGGCCATCTGTTGGGAAGGCTTTGATGGTGTCCTCCAGCCTGGCAGAATGGGATTGGGCTGGATGACCTTTTGGGGTCCCTTTTAAATTTTAATAGAGTCAGATGAATCTCCTTCTATGGTGCTCTTTCAGCAGAGGTGAGATGGCCATCTGTTGGGAAGGCTTTGATGGTGTCCTCCAGCCTGGCAGAATGGGGTTGTACTGGATGACCTTTTGGGGTCCCTTTAAAATTCTAATAAAGTCAGATGCGTCTCCTTCTATTGTGCTCTTTCAATAGAAGTGAAATGGCCATCTGTTGAGAAGGCTTTGATGGTGTCCTCTTTCAGCAGAGGTGAGATGGCCATCTGTTGAGAAGGCTTTGATGGTGTCCTCCAGCCTGGCAGAATGGGATTGGACTGGATGACCTTTTGGGCTCCCTTTTAAACTCTAATAAAGTCAGACGCATCTCTTTCTATATCTCTTTCTATGGTCTCTTTCTATGGTGCTCTTTCAACAGAGGTGAGATGGCCGTCTGTTGGGAAGGCTTTGATGGTGTCCTCCAGCCTGGCAGAATGGGATTGGACTGGATGACCTTTTGGGGTCCCTTTTAAATGCTAATAAAGTGAGGTGCATCTCCTTCTATGGTGCTCTTTCAACAGAGGTGAGATGGCCATCTGTTGGGAAGGCTTTGATGGTGTCTTCCTGCCTGGCAGAATAGTGTTGGACTGGATAGCCTTTTGGGGTCTTTTTCCAACTCTTATGAAGTAAGATACCTCTCCTTCTATGGTGTTCTTTCATCAGAAGTCAGATGGCTGGCCATCTGTCGGGAGGGCTTTGGTGGTGTCTTTCTGCCTGACAAAAGGGGGTTGGACTGGATGGTCTTTGGTGTCTTTTCCAACTCTAGCATCCTAGGACCCTCCTTCAATATTTCTTCTTTCTCTTCTCTTTTTAGTCCTCGAATGGGTCCCAACCAAAGTCCGCACTGTTGCTGGGACGGTCGTGGGATACAGCGCAACCTTTGGGCAAATCATTCTCCCTGGACTGGCCTACGCCCTCCCGGACTGGCGCTGGCTCCAGTTTACAGCGTCCATGCCTTTCTTTGCCTTTTTCATCTACTCCTGGTGAGCACACAATCATCCCATTTTCAATAGTGGGAAAACGTTGCAGGTCTTGCGATGGATTCAAAGGATCGGAAAATAGATTCCACCTAAAAATTAAAAACAGATGGCTGGATGGCCATCTGTCGGGAGGGATTTGATTGTGCTTTCCTACCTGGCAGAATGGGGTTGGACTGGGTGACCTTTGGAGTCCCAACTCTAGCAATGTATCATCATTAGAATATTCAATAATAATTATGATGGAGTATCCTTCTATGGTTTAAACAAATCCTCAATGGCCATCTGTCGGGAAGGATTTGATTGTGTTCTCCTACATAGCAGAATGGGGCTGGACTGGATGGCCTTTGGAGTCCCCTTCCAACTCTAGCATTGTATCATCATTATAATATTCAATAATAATGAGGATGGAAACTTTAAGAATATCCTCAATGGCCATCTGTCAGGAAGGAATTGATTGCGTTCTCCTACCTGGCAGAATGAGGTTGGACTGGATGGCCTTTGGAGTCCCAACTCTAGCATTGTATCATCATTAAAATATTCAATAATAATGATGATGGAGTATCCTTCTATGGAGGTTTTAAGCAAATCCTCAATGGCCATCTGTCAGAAAGGATTTGATTGTGTTCTCCTACCTAGCAGAATGGGGTTGGACTGGATGGCCTTTGGAGTCTCTTCCAACTCTAGCATTGTATCATCATTATAATATTCAATAATAATGAGGATGGAGACTTTAAGCATATCCTCAATGGCCATCTGTCAGGAAGGATTTGATTGTGTTCTCCTGCCTAGCAGAATGGGGTTGGACTGGATGGCCTTTGGGGTCCCAACTCTAGCATTGTATCATCATTAAAATATTCAATAATAATGATGATGGAGTATCCTTCTATGGAGGGTTTAAGCAAATCCTCAGTGGCCATCTGTCGGGAAGGATTTGATTGTGTTCTCCTACCTAGCAGAATGGGGCTGGACTGGATGGCCTTTGGAGTCCCCTTCCAACTCTAGCATTGTATCATCATTATAATATTCAATAATAATGAGGATGGAGACTTTAAGCATATCCTCAATGGCCATCTGTCGGGAAGGATTTGATTGTGTTCTCCTACCTGGCAGAATGGGGTTGGACTAGATGGCCTTTGGAGTCCCAACTCTAGCACTGTATCATCATTATAATATTCAATAATGATGATGGAGTATCCTTCTATGGAGGGTTTAAGCAAATTCTCAATGGCCATCTGTCAGGAAGGATTTGATTGTGTTTTCCTGCCTGGCAGAATGGGGTTGGACTGGATGACCTTTGGGGTCCCCTTCCAACTCTGGCATTCTATCACCATTATAATATTATAACGCTATTCTAATAATATAATATAATGTAATGTAATATAATATAATATATTTTATATACATATACATATAGTATTATAATATATAATATTATAATGCTATTCTAATAATGTAATGTAATGTAATGTAATATATTTTATATACATATAATATTTATAATATTATAATGTAATGCAATATAATAATATAATATAATTATATATTTATATTACATGTAATATTACTAATAATATTACAAAATAGTGGTATGGTGCAATATAGCAATGTTTTATGCTGATATTGTACTATGCTAATAATATAATATATTGTGTGTAATATATACCTTGTAAGCCCCTCTATGGAGGGTTTAAGCAAATCCTCAGTGGCCATCTGTCGGAAAGGATTTGATTGTGTTTTCCTGGCAGAATGGGGTTGGACTGGATGGCCTTTGGGGTCCCCTCCCAACTCTGGCCTTCTATCACCATTATAATATTATAATGCTATTCTAATAATATAATATAATATAATATAATATTTATAATATTATAATGTAATGCAATATAATAATAATAATAATAATAATAATAATAATAATATGATATTATAATTATATATTTATATTACATGTAATATTGCTAATAATATTACGAAATAGTGGTATGGTGCAATATAGCAATATTTAATGCTGATATTGTACTATGCTAGTAATTTAATATATTGTATGTAATATATACCTTGTAAGCCCCTCTATGGAGGGTTTAAGCAAATCCTCAGTGGCCATCTGTCGGTAAGGATTTGATTGTATTTTCCTGGCAGAATGGGGTTGGACTGGATGGCCTTTGGGGTCCCCTTCCAACTATGGCATTCTATCATCATTGTAATATTTGATAATATCGAGGATAGTGTCTCCTTTTATGGAGGGTCTTGAGCAAAGGCTAGATGGGCCTCTGTCGGGAAGGATTTGATTGTGTTTTGCAGGCTGGCAGAATGGGGCTGGACTGGATGGCCTTTGGAGATCTCTTGAGTTGGAAGAGATCCCCAAAGGCCATCCAGTCCAACCCTATTCTGCCAGGCAGCATAACACAGTCAAATCCTTCCCGACAGATGGCCATTCTAAGTTGCCCCTCTGATATTTGACTCTTTTTGCCCAGGTGGTTCGCTGAATCCGCCCGATGGCTGGTCCTCTCCGGGAAGCTGGAGCAAGCCGTCCAAGTGCTGAAGAAGGTGGCCCAGTTCAATGGAAAGAAGGAAGAAGGAGAGAAACTCACCACCGAGGTAAACAAGCGGATTCTGGGAATCTGGTAGAGTCTCCTTCTCGGGAAATTTTTAAGCAGAGGCTGGATGGCCATCTGTTGGGATGGCTTTGATTGTGTCCTCCTGCCTGCCTGGCTGGATTGGATAGCCTTTGGGGTCCCTTCCAACTCCATTCTATGAAACTACGAGTCCACTTGAGTCCCTTTCTCCATACTTTTTAAATCAGAGGCTGGATGGCCATCTGTCGGGAGTGCTTTGAAGGTGTCCTCCTGACTTGCGGAAGGGGGTTGGACTGGATATGGAACTTTGAGTCCACCTGAGTCCCTTTCTCCAGACTTTTTCAATCAGAGGCTGGATGGTCATGTGTCAGGAGGGCTTTAATTGTGTCCTCCTACCTCTCCTTCTGTGGTGGTCTTTCATCAGAGGTTAGATGTCCATATTTTGGGAGGGCTTTAATGGTGTCCCCCTACCTGGCAGAATAGGGTTGAACTGGATGGTCTTTGGGGTCCCCTTCCAACTCTAATGAAGTAAGATACCTCTCCTTCTGTAGTTCATCAGATGGCCATCTGTTGGGAGGGTTTTGATGGTGTCCTTCTACCTGGCAGAATGGGGATGGACTGGATGGTCTTTGGGGTCCATTTCCAACTCTAATGAAGTAAGATACCTCTCCTTCTGTGGTTCATCAGAGGTGGAATGGCCATCTGTTGGGAGGGCTTTGATGGTGTCCTTCTACCTGGCAGAATGGGGATGGACTGGGTGGCCTTTGGGGTTCCCTTCCATCTCTAATGAATTAAGATACCTCTCCTTCTGCCGTGGTCTCTCAACAGAAGCTAAATAGCCATCTGTTGGGAGGGCTTTGATGGTGTCCTACTACCTGCCAGAATAGGGTTGAACCAGACAGCCTTTTGGGTCCCCTTCTAACTCTACTGAAGTATAATATATCTCTTGGGCTATGGTTTATCAGAGGTTAGATGGCCATCTGTTGGGAGGGCTTTGATGGTGTCTTCCTGCCTTGGCAGAAAGACACCATACCTCTCCTTCTGTAATTCATCAGTTAGATGGCCATCTGTTGGAGAACTTTCCATCTCTACCTCTCCTTCTGTGGTTCATCAGAAGTTAGATGGCCATCTGTTGGGAGGGCTTTGATGTTGTCCTCCAGCCTGGCATAATGGGGGTTGGACTGGGTGGTCTTTGGGGGGTCCCCTTCCAACTCTAATGAAATAAGATACCTCTCCTTCCATGGGGGTCTTTCACCAGAGGTTAGGTGGCCATCTGTTGGGAGGGCTTTGATGATGTCCTCCTACCTGGCAGAATAGGGTTCGACTGGATGGACTATGAGGTCCCCTTCCAACTCTAATGAAGTAAGATACCTCTCCTTCTGTGGTTCATCAGAGGTTAGATGGCCATCTGTTGGGAGGGTTTTGATGTTGTCCTCCAGCCTGGCAGAATGGGGTTGGACTGGGAGGTCTTTGGGTGTCCCCTTCCAACTCTAATGAAGTGAGATACCTCTCCTTCTGTGGTTCATCAGAGGTGGAATGGCCATCTGTTGGGAGGTCTTTGATGATGTCCTCCTACCTGGCAGAATAGGGTTCGCCTTTGAGGTCCCCTTCCAACTCTAATGAAGTAAGGTACCTCTCCTTCTTTGGTGGCCTTTCATCAGACGTTAAATGGCCATCTGTCAGGAGGGTCTTGATTGTTTCCTCCTACCTGACAGAATGGGGTTGGACTGGATGACCTTTTGGGGTTCACTTGCAACTATAATGAAGTAAGATACCTCTCCTTCTGTGGTTCATCAGAGGTGGAATGGCCATCTGTTGGGAGGGCTTTGATGGTGTCCTTCTACCTGGCAGAATGGGGATGGACTGGGTGGCCTTTTGTGTCCATTTCCAACACTAATGAAGTAAGGTATATCTCCTTCTGTGGTTCATCAGAGCTGGAATGGCCATCTGTTAGGAGGGCTTTGATGGTGTCCTCCTACCTGGTAGAATAGAGTTTGACTGGATGGCCTTTGAGGTCTCTTTCCAACTCTAATGAAGTAAGATGCATCTCCTTCTGTGGTTCATCAGAGGTGGAATGAGCATCTGTTGGGAGGGCTTTGATGGTGTCCTCCTACCTGACAGAATGGGGTTGGATTTGATGACCTTTTGGGGTTCACTTCCTGTTCTGGTACAGCTGTACCAGGAGCTCCTATTTTGTTTGCTTTGCAGTTAATGTTTGTTTGCAATCCCAGGCTTGGGATTTTGCAGCAGGGTGGCTTCCTGTTATAGGCTGCAACCATAGGGTAAGCCACCTGCCAATTATAGTTAGGATCCCTGGTCCCGCCCCCTTTTTGCTTTTTGGCGGGAAAGGGCCATTTTTTCAGTTAGTTACAGCAAGAGAAGCTTGTGCTGAACCTGACTCAGCACATAGAAGGTGGCTTTGAAAGGCAGCAGATCACAGGAGCCGTCTTCATAGACCTGTCAGCAGCCTATGAGACTGTGAACCACCGCCTCCTCCTGAGAAAAACGTATAGTATCACAAAGGACGACCACCTCACCCACCTCATAGGAAACCTGCTACAAAACAGGAGCTTTTTTGTTGAGTTCCAGGGCCAGAGAAGCAGATGGCGGAAACAGAAGAACGGCCTGCCTCAGGGGAGCGTGCTTGCTCCATCCATGTTCAACATCTACACAAATGACCAGCCACTGCCAGAAGGGACAGAGAGCTTCATCTATGCTGATGATCGTGCCATTAATGCTCAAGCAGGGAGCTTTGAGACTGTAGAACAGAAGCTCTCCGAAGCTCTAGGTGCTCTTACTGCCTACTACAGGGAAAACCAGCTGATCCCTAACCCATCTAAAACACAGACATGTGCCTTTCATCTCAAGAACAGAGAAGCATCCTGAGCTCTGAGGACAACCTAGGAAGGAATCCCACTGGAGCATTGCAGCGCACCCAAATACCTGGGAGTCACTCTGGACCGTGCTCTGACCTACAAGAAGCACTGCCTGAACATATAGCAAAAAGTGGGTGCTAGAAACAATATCATACGAAAGCTGACTGGCACAACCTGGGGATCACAACCACCCCAAGTTTTGGCGGTGTCCAGGGGAGCATTTGCACAACTCAAACTTGTGCGCCAGTTACGCCCGTACCTTGGGAAGTCTGACTTAGCCACGGTAGTCCACGCTCTGGTTACATCCCGGATTGATTACTGCAACGCGCTCTACGTGGGGTTGCCCTTGAAGACTGCCCGGAAGCTTCAGATGGTCCAGCGCTCGGCAGCCAGGTTGCTAACGGGAGCGGCACTCAGGGAGCACACCACTCCGATGCTGAAACAGCTCCACTGGCTGCCAATCCGCTACCGGGCACAATTCAAGGTGCTGGCTTTAGCCTATAAAGCCCTAAACGGTTCCGGCCCCACTTACCTCTCCAAACGCATCTCCACCTATGAACCGATTAGAACATTAAGATCGTCTGGGGAGGCCCTGCTCTCAATCCCGCCTGCGTCACAGGCGCGCTTGGTGGGGACGAGAGACAGGGCCTTCTCAGTGGTGGCCCCTCGGCTATGGAATGCCCTACCGGCAGACATCAGACAGGCACCTTCGCTGCTGACGTTTCGGAGAATGGTTAAGACCTGGCTTTATGAACAAGCGTTTGGTTAAGCAGTGCAACCAATCATAGGAAGACGGTAAATGGAACATAGGAATGGCACAAGGATTATGAGAACGGATCTGATTCAACTGAGGCGTTATGTTATGTCTGTTTTGTTGATCTGTCTTGTTGATTGTTAACTGTTGTGGATTGATGCTGTTGATCCTGTTTGTTGCATTGTTATGTTTTAATTGCACTGACACTGTTTGATAATTGTACCATGTAAACCGCATTGAGTCGCCTGTTAAGGGCTGAAAAATGCGGTATAGAAATAAAGCAAATAAATAAATAAATAATAAATACAGTGAAGACATCTGCCCTTGCGCTGTGCTACTCTGCTGCTGAGTATGCATGCCCAGTGTGGAACACATCTCACCATACTGAAACAGTGGATGTGGCTCTTAATGAGACATGCCGCATTATCACGGGGTGTCTGCGCTCTACACCACTGGAGAAATTACACTGCTTAGCTGGTATTGCACCACCTGGCATCCGCCGGGAAGTAGCAGCCAATAGTGAAAGGACCAAGGCAGAGACATCTCCAGCTCATCCCCTGTTTGGGTATCAGCCAGCACGCCAACGACTTAAATCTAGACATAGTTTTCTAAGATCTACAGAGACACTCGCTGGAACACCTCAGCAAGCGAGAGTCCAAAAGTGGCAGGCTCAAACCCAGAACCTCAACCAATGGCTGATACCAAATGAGAGACTCCCCTGGGCACACAGAAGACTGGGCGACTTGGAAGGCGCTGAACAGACTGCGCTCTGGCACCACGAGATGCAGAGCCAACCTTCAGAAATGGGGCTACAAAGTAGAATCCTCGACATGCGAGTGTGGAGAAGAGCAAACCACTGACCACCTGCTGCAATGCAACCTGAGCCCTGCCACATGCACAATGGAGGACCTTCTTGCGGCAACACCGGAAGCACTCCAAGTGGCCAGATACTGGTCAAAGGACATTTAACCACCTACCAAACTCAAAGTTGTGTATTTTTCTGTTTGTTTGCTTTGTTCTGTTAGACTGGTTGTTCTGAAACGACAAATAAATAAATAGCAAGAGAAGCCAAAGGCAGAGGATGCATACAGACATTCCTCCTGTCCAAAAGCCAATAGACTTTAGAAACTTTACAATTCTTGCTTGTTCATTAATAAAGACTGTTGTATTTAATCTCCAAGTCTCCTAAAGCCTGCTTAATAGGAAAAGTTCCTCTAAAGGCTCCTTCTCGGGCCCCCGGGCTTCCCGCTGGATGCAAGCCTTGCATCCTCTTTTAGAAGCATTTAATTTTGGCTCCAGCGGCGACAGAACGCTTCCAATTATAATGAAGTAAGATACCTCTCCTTCTTTGGTGGCCTTTCATCAGAGGTTAGATGGCCTTCTGTCGGGAGGGCTTTCATGGTGTTCTCCTGCATGGCAGTATCAATTGAATGGCCCTTGGGGTCTCCTCCAGCGCTGTGATTCTGTTTTCATAGATATCCATGCAAAGTCCAAAAATGTATTCCCTATAGATCTGTGGGTCATAATCCAATCCTTTTTCCTTCTCCAGGTTTTGAAATCCAGTATGCAGAAAGAGCTGGCCTTGGCACAAACTTCGTATTCCGTCGCCAGCTTGGTCCGGACCCGCACCGTGCGCCGGATCTCCTGCTGCATCTCCAGCGTCTGGTATGCAGAATCAGCTTGTTTTCCCTGTGATAGACAGTAAGACCACCTAAAGCTTCTATCCAACCATTTCAAAGCTCAATGCTTGAGCGGTGATGGCACGATCGTCAGCGTAGACTAGCCCTTGCATGATCACAAATAAGAGAGACTCAACCCATACACTCCAATATTTTCATTGCAAGGGATTGTAATAAGGGTCAAAAGAAGCATTCCTTTCACCCATCTGCAAGCAAAAGAACTAATATGCCTCCACCTCTGTAACTCCTCAACAGATACTCAGCAGTACTGGTATGTGGCAGGTACTGTCTTGTTCAGTAGACCCTCCTGTACAATTCCATTTTGGCGGGAAGCCTTAGCATTGAACGGTTGTGTTGTTAAAGTGAAAAGTAATGCCTCCACCTTCGTAACTCCTCAACAGATGGCAGTACTGGTATGCTGCAGGTACTGGCTTGTTCAGTAGCATCTCCTGTACAGTTCCATTTTGGCGGGAAGCCTTAGCATTGAACGATTGTGTTGTTAAAGTGAAAAGTAATGCCTCCACCTTCGTAACTCCTCAACAGATGGCAGTACTGGTATGCCGCAGGTACTGGCTTGTTCAGTAGCATCTCCTGTACAGTTCCATTTTGGCAGGAAGCCTTAGCATTGAACGGTTGTGTTGTTAAAGTGAAAAGTAATGCCTCCACCTCCTTAACTCCTCAACAGATGGCAGTACTGGTATGCAGCAGGTACTGGCTTGTTCAGTAGACTCCCCTCTACAGTTCCATTTTGGCAGGAAGCCTTAGCATTGAACGGTTGTGTTGTTAAATGGCAAAGTATGGAACCCTGTGCAGACGGTCGGTCAATGCAACTTACGCAACGTGCAGTCATGAACATGTCCAAGAGCCCTGCCAATGTCCTCCACCAACACCATACTGACCACCACCCAAGTCAGGGCTTTCGTATGGGGACAATTCCAATCTAGATTGTATGTGTTTCCTCCACCACAGACATCCCAGTGTTTCTGACTCTCCATTGGTGTGGAATTTGCATGACCCTGCCCACTGCTTCTCCCTTAACCCTTTCCTATTCTTTTCTATGGCACACCGCAAACAGAGGAATTAATCAGCAACTGGACATACTAGAGATGTTTGGGGAGAATTCACCATGATTTATAGGACTTTTAGGTCCTGGGATGTATAGTTCCCCTGCAATCTAAGAGCACTGTGAACTCCACCAATGATGGACCTGGAACTAACTTGGCACACAGAACCCTCATAACCAACAAAACATACTGGAGGTATTTGAAGGGATTTAGGGGAGTTGTAGTTCACCTACACTCAAAGTGCACTATGAACCCAAACAAAGATGGATCTGGACCAAACTTGGCATGAATACCCAATACACCCAAATATGAATATTGGTGGGATTTGAGGGAAACTGACCTGGACATTTTGGAGTTGTAGCTCCTGGGATTTATAGTTCACCTGCAATCAATGAACACTCTGAACTCTGACAAAGATGGAACTGGATCAAACTTGGTACACAGAGCTCCCCTGACCTGCAAAAAATACTGGAGGTTTTGGGGGAAAATCCACTTTGATTTGGGGGAGTTGTAGTTGACCTACATACAGAGAGCACTGTGAACCCAAACACCCGATGGATCTGGACTTTGATTTGGGGGAGTTGTAGTTCACCTACATTTGGGGGAGTTGTAGTTCACCGATGGATCTGGACTTTGATTTGGGGGAGTTGTAGTTCACCTACATACAGAGAGCACTGTGAACCCAAACACCCGATGGATCTGGACCAAACTAGACACACATACTTGATATGTTGAAATTTGATTACTGGAGGGGTTTGGGAGGTGAGAGATGGAACTGACCTTCCTTTCTGGGAGTTGTAGTTCACCCACAACCAGAGAAATTGTGACCTTTACCAATGATGGGCCTGGACCAAACTTGGCACACAGAATCCCCATGACCACCTCAACCTACTGGAGGGGTTTGACTCACTATAGTGGGAGTTGTAGTTTACCCTATAGCCAGAGAGTACAGTGAACCCCATCGATGTTGTATCTAGACCGATCTTGCCCAACTTAACAAACTTCAACGTATATAACAAATATACACAGGCAAAACAAAACTCTATTAAAATATATATTACTAATATACACAGATTTCTGGTAGCAGCCCTTTGTGCAATTGAGATATATAGACAGGTATATCCAAGAGTGATGCTTGTGTATATCAGAATATGAGTAATACTGCCCCAGAATAACTCCACCAATATCTAACTGTCCTTTCTGACACCTTCAACCCAATGCCCAGGTTCGCCACTAGCTTTGCCTACTACGGCCTTGCCATGGACCTCCAGAACTTCGGCTTCAGCATCTACCTGATCCAGGTAGCCTTTGGCTCCATTGACATCCCAGCCAAGCTCGGTGCCGCCATTGGCATGAGCTACATCGGCCGGAGGACCACCCAAGCCTCCTCGGTCATCTTGGCCGGCTTGGCCATCCTGGCCAATATCTTCGTACCCCAAGGTAAGCCAGGGTTATGGGCCCAGACCCCTCGGGTGGCCGTCTCATGACGTTGGGGGACGGAGAGCAGAGCTTTGCAAACTCTCCGCGTTGGTGACACGCATCAGTTCGCGACACGGTCGTTCAGTTTTACTAGCAAAACGGAGGAGAATCCAAACCTTTATAAGAGTTTCATACAATACATATGTATTATAAAAAGCATGCATATATATATATATATATATATACACACACACACACACACACACATATATATATAAATGTAATATTATATATATAAATATAAATATAATATTATATATATATATATATAATATTTTATGTATATATATATATATATGTGTGTGTGTGTGTGTGTGTGTGTGTGTATATATATATGTAATGTTCGTTTGTGGGAGAAACATAACTCAGAAACTAGTGGACGAATTGACACGAAATTTTGACACAATACACCTAATAGTCCAACAAGTGTCCAACAGCCCTAAAAACATACACAAAAACCCCAGCAGAATGGACTTTAAAACCCCAGAAATATACCATATATACATATACACATAGACTCATATACATATACACATGCACACATATACACACATACACACAAATATCCACTTATACATACACATACATATATACCTATACACATGCACACGCAAATATACATACAAATACATATACACACACATATAAATACAAATATCCACTTATACATACACATATACCTATACACATGCACACACAAATATACACATATACACACACACATATACACACATACACACAAATATCCACTTATACATACACATACATATACCTATACACATGCACACACAAATATACACACATACACATATACACACACATATACACACATACACACAAATATCCACTTATACATACACATACATATATACCTATACACATGCACACACAAATATACACACATACACATATACACACACAATATATACACACATGCACACAAATATCCACTTATACATACACATACATACCTATACACACATACACACACACATATATACACACTATATATACACAGAAATATCCACTTATACATACACACACATATATACCTATATACATGCACACACAAATATACACACATACACATATACACACACAATATATACACACATGCACACAAACATCCACTTATACATACACATACATACCTATACACACATACACACACACATATATACACACTATATATACACAGAAATATCCACTTATACATACACATACATATATACCTATACACATGCACACACAAATATACACATATATATGTATGTACACATACACACCTAAAGACAAATATACACACAGGTATATACACACACACACATATATATATACACACACATACATCCACACACATCTGTACACCCACATATATATCCCCAAACACACATATATACACATATGCACAAATATATACACACACAAAACACATATACACAGCCTGGGCCACAGCAACGCGTGGCAGGGGATGGCTAGTGTATATGTATGTGTGTGTGTGTGTGTGTGTGTATATATATATATATATATATGGAGTTGCACTTCAAAAAATCCCTGTTCTGACTTACATACAAATTCAGCTTAAGAACAAACCGACAGAACTTCTCTTGATGCTTTAAAATGAAGGCTGGATGGCCATCTGTTGGGAAGACTTTGACTGTGCATTCCATGGAGGTCGATCCAAACCTTTATAAGAGTTCCATACAATACATATGTATTGTAAAAAGCCATCCCCTGCCACGCATTGCTGTGGCCCACATGGGGGTTCTGTGTGGGAGGTTTGGCCCAATTCTATCGTTGGTGGAGTTTGGAATGCTCTTTGATTGTAGGTGAACTACAAATCCCAGCAACTACAACTCCCAAATGTCAAGATTCTATTTTCCCCAAACTCCACCAGTGTTCACATTTGGGCATATGGAGTATTCGTGTAGAGTTTGGTCCAGATCCATCATTGTTTGAACCCACAGTGATCTCTGGATGTAGGTGAACTACAACTCCAAAACGAAAGGACGTTGCCCACCAAACCCTTCCAGTATTTTCTGTTGGTCATGGGAGAACTGTGTGCCAAGTTTGGTTCAATTCCATCGTTGGTGGGGTTCAGAATGTTCTTTGATTGTAGGTGAACTATACATCCCAGCTACTACAACTCCCAAATGACAAAATAAAAAAAAAAATAGTGAAGGACATACATTGGCCTGATAGGTGTCTGGGTCCAAATTTGGTGTCAATTCATCCAGTGGTTTTTGAGTTTTGTTAATCCCACAAACGAACATTGACATATGTGAGTTGTAGTTACTGGGATGTATAGTTCACCTACAATCAAAGAACATTCTGAACCCCACCAACGATGGAATTGAACCAAATATATCTGGAGTTGCACTTCAAAAATGTCCAAATTCTGACTTGCATACAAATTCAGCTTAAGAACAAACCTACAGAACTTCTCTGGATGTTTTAAAATGGAGGCTGGATGACCATCTGTTGGGAGGACTTTAACTGTGCATTCCTGCCTGGCCGATGGGGGTTAGACTAGACGCCCTTTGGGGGAATCCCTTCCAACTCTAATGAAGTATAGACTGCCTGGGAGTCCAATGGAGGTTTTTCAACTGAGGCTGGATGCTGGCCATCTGCCAGGAGGGCTTTGACTGTGTCTTCCTGCCAGGCTGGAAACATTTTTCATGCAACACACCTGTAGGAATCTCTGGGTCGTGCAATATTGAGGGTGGTGGGCTTCAAACTACAAGAGAGGAGATTCCATCTGAACATGAGGAAGAACTTCCCGACTGTGAGAGCCGTTCAGCAGTGGAACTCTCTGCTCCGGAGTGTGGTGGAGGCTCCTTCTTTGGAAGCTTTTAAACAGAGGCTGGATGGCCATCTGTCAGGGGTGATTTGAATGCAATATTCCTGCTTCTTTGCAGGGGGTTGGACTGGATGGCCCATGAGGTCTCTTCCAACTCTTTGATTCTATGATTCTATGGTGATAATCAAAAGATATTGGAGGACCTAGGGTACATGTGTCAAAATTACGGCCCGCGGGCCAAATCCGGCCTGCCATGTCATTGGATGTGGTCCTCCTCCAGGTGCTGGACCACAACTCCTGTATTCCTCACCATGAGATGTCATGTCTAGAACTGTTGGGAGTTGTGATCCTAACATTTGGATGAGTTTGAGACCATTGAGCTAGAGGTCCCAAAACATCAATGCTTATGTCCGTGCTTTTGTCTCTCCTGCCTTTGTTTACCCCTTTCTCAGATCTGCGAGCGCTGAGGACGTCTTTGGCGGTGCTTGGGAAAGGATGCTTGGCCTCCTCCTTCAACTGTCTTTACCTCTACACCGGGGAGCTCTACCCAACGGTGATCCGGTAGGTCCCTTTCAATTGCTAAGTCTAATCAAGCCCTCCTGGCAGATGGACATCCAACCTCTGTTTATAATCCGCCAGGGAAGGAACTCCATTGTCACCATATTAGTATTATTATAGGTGACTAGGTGTACCCTGCCACGCGTTGCTGTGGCCTATAGTAAATCTTTTCAAAGTAGAGGTAGATATCTGGAGTATTATGAAAGAGAGGTACCTACCTATTCCTTCCCCCTTTTTCTCCCCCTTTCTCTTTCTTTCTTTCTTTCTTTCTTTCTTTCCTTCTTTCGCTCCTTGGTTTCATCCTTCTCTCTTTCCTTCATTCCCTCCCCCTTTCTTCCTTTGCCTCCTTTCTTCCCTCCATGTTTCCTTCCTTCTTTCATTTTTTATTTCCTTTTCTCCTTCCTTCTTTACCTCTTTCCTGCCTTTCCTTCCTTTTATTTTTCTTTCCTTTCTACTTTCTCTTCTTCCTTCCTTCGGTACCTCTTTCTTTCCTGCCTTCCCTCCTTCCTTTCTTCCTTCCCAATGCTTACCAAACCCTTCTCGTGCTTTCTGTTGGGTCATGGGAGTCCTGTGTGCCACGTTTGGTTTAATTCTGTCATTGGTGGAGTTCAGAATGCTTTGATTATAGGTAAACTATAAATCCCAACAGCTTCAACGGAGGGGGGTGGGAGGAAGAGGAGGAGGAGTGCAGGGGCGGGGCGTTGGTGGGTGTGGGTGGGGCTTCGGTGGAGGGGGGTGGGAGGAGGAGTGCAGGGGCGGGGCGTCGGTGGGTGTGGGCGGGGCTTTGGCGGAGGGGGGTGGGAGGAGGAGGAGGAGTGGTGGGGGCATCGGTGGGTGTGGGCGGGGCTTCAGCGGAGGGGGGAGGGAGGTGCGGTAGGGTGCGTTGGCCATTTGGCCATGTGCGCGCGCCGGCGACTTTGCACCATTGCGCATGCTCAGTTGTTTTGTCCTTTTGTGAGTGTGTTGTTGTGTTGTTTTTTTTATTTTGATTCGATTTGTTTGTACCTTGTGGGTTGAGGTATGTGCATGGGAATTTTGGTTATTTTTCGTTGGGGGGTTTTTGAGTTTTGCTGTCCCGTTTAACGCCCCTTACAGATTTATATATATAGATGATGCTAGATTCCTAGAGTTGGAATTGACCCTTAAGGGCCATCCAGTCTGGCCCCTTTCTGCCATGCAGGAAGACAACATCAAAGCCCTCCCAACAGATGGTCATCCACCCAATTACCCACATCTCCCCTGTCTCTTAAACATCTCCAGGTCCTCCAGTGTGATTCCATGATCAACAAATAGCACAAGTATACCATAAAACTATACTAAAGGACTAGAAATGCCTAGATATTTTCCCCCAGCTTCCAACCATGATCGTTCACTCACCAAAAGCTGCAGTACTTCAAAACTGGTCAGTGACTCAGCCACTTCGCTGCAGTCCAGCCATTCCAGTTCTCTCCACCAGCAACACTCTCCGAGTCAACTGGGTTAACTCTGGTTCTGATCACCAAGCTTTCAGGTGTGGATCAATAGCAATTCCTAGATGCTCTGGGAGTCTGGATGGACTGGGCCCATAACCAATTGTCAGAGTTAAGACGATGCCCAGCGGAAGGAATGCTAGATCAGCAGACACTGAGTTTTATTTATCGTGTCATCAGCAACCATACCATTGTATTACAATTCTAACAGAACAAAACAAACACATAGATTAAAAAGAAAAAGGAAAAAAACAAAAACACACAGATTTTGCAAACTTGGTAGTTGGTTAAATGTCCTTTGACCAGTATCTGGCCACTTGGAGTGCCTCTGGTGTTGCCGCAAGAAGGTCCTCCATTGTGCATGTGGCAGGGCTCAGGGTGCATTGCAGCAGGTGGTCAGTGTTTGTTCTTCTCCGCACTCGCATGCCGAGGATTCCACCCTGTAGCCCCATTTCTGAAGGTTGTCTCTGCATCTCGTGGTGCCAGAGCGCAGTCTGTTCAGCGCCTTCCAAGTCGGCCAGTCTTCTGAGTGCCCATGGGGAGAGTCTCTCATCTGGTATCACCCATGGATTGAGGTGCTGGGTTTGGGCCTGCCACTTTTGGACTCTTGCTTGCTGGGGTGTTCCAGCGAGTGTCTCTGTAGATCTAAGAAAACTATGTCTTGATTTAAGTCGTTGACGTGCTGGCTGATACCCAAACAGGGGATGAGCTGGAGATGTCTCTGCCTTGGTCCTTTCACTATTGGCTGCTACTTCCCGGCGGATGTCAGGTGGTGCAATACCGGCTAGACAGTGTAATTTCTCCATTGGTGTGGGGCACAGACACCCTGTGATAATGCGGCATGTCTCATTAAGAGCCACATCTACTGTTTTAGTGTGGTGAGATGTGTTCCACACTGGGCATGCGTACTCAACAGCAGAGTAGCATAGCGCAAGGGCAGATGTCTTCACTGTGTCTGGTTGTGATCCCCAGGTTGTGGCAGTCAGCTTTCGTATGATGTTGTTTCTAGTGCCCACTTTTTGCTTAATGTTCAGGCAGTGCTTCTTGTAGGTCAGAGAACGGTCCAGAGTGACTCCCAGGTATTTGGGTGTGTTGCAATGCTCCAGTGGGATTCCTTCCCAGGTAATCCTCAGAGCTCAGGATGCTTGTCTGTTCTCAAGGTGAAAGGCGCATGTCTGTGTTTTAGATGGATTAGGGATCAGTTGGTTTTCCCTGTAAGAGGCAGTAAGAGCACCTAGAGCTTCGGAGAGCTTCTTTTCAACCATCTCAAAGCTCCCTGCTTGGGTGGTAATGGCACGATCATCAGCATAGATGAAGCTCTCTGTCCCTTCTGGCAGTGGCTGGTCATTTGTGTAGATGTTGAACATGGATGGAGCAAGCACGCTCCCCTGAGGCAGGTCGTTCTTCTGTTTCCACCATCTGCTTCTCTGGCCCTGGAACTCAACAAAGAAGCTCCTGTTTTGTAGCAGGTTTCCTATGAGGCGGGTGAGGTGGTCGTCCTTTGTGATATTATACATTTTTCTCAGGAGGAGGCAGTGGTTCACAGTATCATAGGCTGCTGACAAGTCTATGAAGACAGCTCCTGTTATCTGCTGCCTTTCAAAGACACTGAGTTGCAAAATAAGGACTCTGCAGGCTTTGAGTTACAAAAGAAACTAAGTTTACTAAGACTAAGCACATTCATCAGACACGTCTTACTACAGCGAGCTACAATTCAGGAATGAGTCAAAACGAAAGTCTCTTCACATCTGCTTATCTCCTCTTGCTGAGACTGGCAACTCCCTTCTGTTCCCAGCAAGAGCAAACCTTATCTAACTTTTCTCAAGTTCACTTAATCACAGCCTCATGGTGTAAACATTCTGCACGGCATTTCTAATTCACAGTAGCATCCATCTTAGCAATACATAGAAGCACATTTAAAACACATACATAACTAAATTAATCCTGACAAAAAGTGCCGTACGGTACTCAACCTGTGAGATACTCTGCATTTTATATGTTTAACTATGTGGTACCCCACCTTGAGCCTTAGGGAGATGCAAATAAGAAATAAAATTACCGTAAAGATAAGCCAAGTTTTTCGAACCTTTTTTGGACTTACAATGGGGTCAAGCCAGGAAGCGGGGCTTGGAGACCATTGCTTGCAATATATGATATATTTCTCTCTCCTCTTCCCCTCCCTTAACAGTGTATTTTCTTTTCCAAATCCTCCCTCGCTATCTCGAGAGGGAGAGAAGCCCTTGCAAGTCAGGAATATCCATTACAAAATCTTACAAAAGATAATCTCTCCTACAGATATATAGGCATTCCCCCTGCAAGCCTTTGCAATCCCTATATACCTAGATAGATATAAACATAGATATATAGGGCTTCCAAATTACAATATTTGGAAGCCCTATATATCTATGTTTATATCTATCTAGACCTCTCTCTCTGTGTGTGTGTGAGTAATGTGTGAATGTGTGAGGAAATTCACACACTCAGAAAGAGAGAGAGATGTCTAGATCGATATAATCATAGAAATATACGGCTTCCAAATTACAATATTTGGAAGCCCTATATATCTATGTTTATATCTATCTAGACCTCTCTCTGTGTGTGTGTGTGTGTGTGTGTGAGGAGTAATGTGTGAGTGTGTGAGGACATTCACACACTCACAGAGAGAGCAAGATGTCTATATCGATATAAACATATATCTATATCGATATAAACATATATCTGTCTTGACCTCTCTCTCTCTTTGAGTAATGTGTGAGTGTGTGAGGAGTAATGTGTGTGTGTGAGGAAATTCACACACCCACAGAGAGAGAGAGAGAGAGAGAGATGTCTCTAGATAGATATAAACATAAATATATAGGGCTTCCAAATTACAATATTTGGAAGCCCTATATATCTATGTTTATATCTATCTAGACTTCTCTCTCTCCCTCCCTCCCTCCCTC